GGGATTCTGTTCAGAAAATCTTGGCCTACACCTATGTCCTCAAGAGTTTTATCTCTTTTGTCTTCCAGCAGATTGTTTCTGTTTTAATTTTTTTTTTTTTTTTTGGAGACAGGGTCTTGCTGCATAGTTCAGGCTGGCTTGAGTTCACTATGTAGCCCAGACTGGCCTGGAACTTACAGTGATCCTCCTGCCTCAGCCTCTCGAATGCTGGGATAACAGGTATGCACCAACCATGCCCAGCAATATGTAGATCTTTGATCCATTTTGATTTTAGTTTTGTTCATGATGAGAGAAATGAGTCTAGATTCGATCTTTAGCATGTGGGTAGCTAGTTTTCTCAGCAATGTGTGCTGAAGAGTCTGTCTTTCCTCCAGCAAAAGTGGCCCCTTTGTCAAAGATGAGGTAGCTGAGTGTGCCTGGAATAACTTCTCCATACTCATTCTGTTTCACTGATCTACAAGTCTATTTTTTATTTATTTATTTATTTTTCCAATACCATGCTGTTTTTAATCACTGTAGCTATGTAGTATAACTTGAAGTTCAAGGTTGTGATGCCCTCTGCCTTGCCCTTGTTGCCCACAACTGATTTTGCTATTCTAGGCCTTTTCCGGTTCCATATGAATTTTAGGATTGTTTTCTGTAGTCAGTGAGGCATTCCATTGATATTTCGATTGGGACTGTGTTAAATACATATAATAGTTTTGGAAGTGTGGCCATTTTGGATTATACTGGTATCTTTCCATTTTCTGATATCCTCTTTGATCTCCTTTTTCAGAGTATTATAGTTTTCATGGTAGCAGTTTTTGCTTTCTTGGTTAGGTTAATGCCTAAGTATTTTCTTTTTCTTTTTTTTTTTTTAAATTTTTCTTTTTCTTTCTGATCTGATTTCTTCTACAGCCTGATGGAGTTGTTTCTTTACTTCAGTTGCTATCATTTCACAAATTTCAGGTGTGTGATTTCCAAGCTCTTCTATGTCCGTGTCTCCCAGACTTGTTCAGGGTGGGGTGGAGGTCTGAGATTGCATTTTGCTCCTTTGTCTGTCATTTTTGAAGATCCCCAGGATCGCTCAGCGCGGCTCCTGTGATGGTGTCGGGAGGTGGAGCATGGTCACCAGGGCTTCTGAAGCTGACCGGGGCTCAGCGTGGCTCCTGTCATGGTATGGAGGGGTGGGGCATGGTCACTGAGGCTCCCGAAGTTGTCTGTGGCGCAGCGTGGCTCCCACACTGGTGGTAGTGGTGATGTGACACAGTGACTGAGGCTCCCAAAGCTGTCCCTTTTTTGTCTTTTTGAAACAGGCTTTTGCTGTGTAATTCAGTGAATTCTTAAATTCACTGTGTAGCCTAGGCTGGCCTCAAAGTCACAGTGACCCTCCTGCCTCAGCCTCCAGAGTGCACTCCCATGCCTCGCCATTATTAATCTTCTGCATGTCAAATCATATCATGGTGTCTGGTTCGTGGAGGACCCAAACTCACAGTGTGATGTTGGATTTACTGTTTTTGCTGTTAAGGACATTATCTGGACAACTGGTGAAATATTGCCCAGGGTGGCTTTGAATTCTGAGTTTAAACTGTCCTCTTGTCTAAACTCCACTGAGTAGCTGGGATTGCAGGTGTGTACCACAGTTCCCGGAAAAATTGGACCATCTGCCTTATCATTCTGTCTGTCTATCTATCTGTCAGCAGGGTCTCACTATGCCGTTCAGGCTGGTCTTTTTTTTTTTTTTAAATTTTTTTTTTTTTGGTTTTTCTCCGGTACCGGGAACTGAACTCACGACCTTGCTCAGGCTGGTCTTGAACTCACTATTTTTTTTGTTTTAATCTCTTTGAGATAGGGTTTCAATATGCAGTTCAGGCTGGCACAGGCTCACCTTCAACTGGCACAAGCCTCCTGCCTCAGCCTCTCGGAGTGCTGGGATTACAGGCATGTGCCACCACACCCATCTGGAGCTTTTAAAAGAAGAAACAGAAGAAAGAACTTGTTTAGAGCTTATATATGATCATTTAAATATTCAGCAGAAGGCTGGAATATCCAACTGAAGAAAGACCTAATGTGGGTAAGGGTGGTAGGCAACTTGTCATATTCAGATACTGCAGACAGAAAACAGACACGGATGAGTTCTGGTTTTGGGTCCCTGGTCTGTGCAGGAGAGCACGGAAGCCTAATCACAGTTACTGATTTGCAGCCCCCTGCTTCTCCTGTGCGTGACTCTAGCGTGAACACTGAGGGCATTGCTGTTTAGTAGGATGTTTGCAATGACAGAAATGGAGAATACCCTTTGTCAAATACTTGGAACGGAAGCAGACCAGGGGTAAGTAAAATTTCCTTCAGGCCATGGATGCTGTCAGACCATCAATCCATCCATCTTTTCTTCTTTCTCACTCAGTTAGCAGCTGCCTGGCTACTCCATTTTTTTCAGCCTTATGAGATTGTTTCCATTGAGTTACTAGAGAGAAAAAATTTTTGCTCTATCCATCTGGTTTTAACTGGGATCATGTGAATTAAACTAACAAGAGCTATTAACAGGAACATAGACTTTTTATAAATATTTACATGAACAAGGGTTGACAGGAAGTAAGTGAAACTCAAAGAAGTGGTTAAATTCAGGGACTCACATACTCTTTTAGTGAAAGAAAGAGGGTTTGGGTTTCTGGGGAAAATAAATTATGGAGTGAGTAGAAAATACATAGAAGAACTAGTGGACAATAAGAGCTATTTTAGTGGCGTCACTTAATAGTGCAGAATCATCTTGGGTGACCATCTTCGGGTGAGTGACGAGTTTCTCTTCTTTTTTCTCTCTCTCTACTTCTCCCTTCCTCTCTCCTTCCCTCACTCCCTTCCTTCCTTCCTTCCTTCCTTCCTTCCTTCCTTCCTTCCTTCCTTCCTTCCTTCCTTTTGTTCTTTCTTTCTTTACTCTGGGGTAGGGTGTTGTTAAGTTGCTAAGGTGCCCAGGTGGGGCTTGAATTTGGAATCCTCTAGCTTCAGCCTTCCATGGTGTGAGTGTACAGGTGCATGCCGCAGTGCTTGGCCTCCTCCTGGCTTTTAAGGCCTGAGAAGGGGATGCTTTGTAGAAATAATTCTGATTAAGCAGAATAAGCGTGGAGAAGAGAACGCTATGTGATTCTCACTTGCCTTCAGCTCAAAAGAATCTCTACGCCAAAGTGGCATATTTTGGGATAATCTATTCTGATCCTCCTCAAAATATTTAAAAGAATGACTAGACTTCTTATCCAAAGTATAGTGAGAAAGACTGAATGTTCTCTAGTATCACTGTCATTTCTTCTAATTTCCAGCTGAATTAAAGCAAAAACAACTCACTCTATCTCTCCTCTCTTTTCTTTGCCCTACTTTAGCGCAAATTGGAATGTAGCCTTTTCTTTTTTTTCACACAAAGTTCTTTAATTTTTTTTTTAATGTTTTTTGAGACAGTATCTCACTATATAGCTTAAACTGGCCTCAAACTCATGGTGATCCTCCTACCTCAGCCTCCCAGGTGCTGGGATTACAGACAAAATTCTTTCAGAATAATATAATTATGTGACTAGAATTTCCCCAGAATTTGTCATTAAAGGCTAAGCTGCTTATTACTGGCTAATTTTCCCACCTTGGGCCCCTGGCTTCTCACTATGTTGCTAGATCTTTCCCTCTACCTGCTTTCTTTTCCATTTACCTGTCATCTCCTTGAATTTTTCCGTTTTGGCCTAAACATCAGAAGTTGATATCTTCTTCCCGTTTTTAGCAAAACAGTTCAGTTTTCTGCCTGTTTGTGAGCTTCTTCTCATAGGCCTAGAGTTGTAATGAAGCTATTCTCTTAAATGCTGATACCCTCCTCACTGGAATTTCTGTACCCAGAACAAAATGATAACAATACTGTCCACCTACTCACACCCACCCATCCATCTATATGTTCATCCAGGCATTCTCCTATTAATTTAACTCTCCATCCCCTGCCGACCACGTCTGCACATGCACTCACTCAGCTCTCCTCATTTCTGCTCTTCTCTGTCCTAACTCTCCCTACTTCCCCTTTCCCTCCTCACCCCACCCTCTCTGGGTGCACCCCACCCTCTCTAGAACACTCAGAGAAGTTTCTCTCCCTTTGTAAAAAAGAAACTTACACTTTACAAACATGTTAGTTGCCTTAAAATGGATAAAGAGGAAATAGACAAGAGTTGCATTTCTGGGAATGAATGACTATAATCTTTATCATGGGAAAAGGAAGGACAAAAAAGATCTAAGTTACAATTAAGTAGATAAAGCCAAGCGGGATTTGGGTCATTCATTGATAGGGATGGGCTAGAAATCAGATGCTTACAAGCATCAACAGAGAGTGTGTTGTTGGAAATCAGCATAAAAACACACCCACGTGTCTTCAGACATACTACACATTATCTCTTTTGATCTTAACTGCATGCAGCTGTACTTCCATTTTGCTGATGAAACAGGACAATAAAAAATCAACGTGTGAACTATAAGATTGCTTCTTTTTTTTTTTTTTTGAGGTAGGGTCTCACTATGTGGTTGAGGCTGACCTTGAACTTACTATGTAAGTGGTTCAGGCTGGCCTCACAGTGATCCTCCTGCCTCAGCCTCTTGAGTGGTGGGATTACAGGCATGTAGATTGCTTCTGAAGATTGAGTACCTCAGCATGTCCCAGAGGTCTGTCATTGGATGGATCATTGACAATGCTAATGCTATAAGAAAACAATACTTACATTTATATTATATATTTTTAGCTTTTTAAAAACTGCCAGGTATTGAACCCAGTACCCTGTGCATCCTGGACAAATACTACACCACTGACCTATATCCCAGCTGCTGTATTTAGCATTTAATGTTTAGAGATCAGGAATTTCTTAGATTTGCTGTTCTGTTTTTTTTTTTTTTCTTGTTTTTAGTTGAAAGTATCATTGTAGCCTAGGCCAAATTTGAAATAAATTCCATTCTTCAAAATGTTCCTCTTCTGTCTTGACAATGACCAACTTTTGTTTTTTTCCCCTTAGGCAGGGAAAGTTACTCCAATCGGATACAGAGTTGCAACTTGCTTAACTGAGAAACTCCCTAGGGTAAGCATTTTTATTGCCTTTCTTTTGCTCTGTTACTTTCCATAGGATCATTAGGAGATAACTCTCAGTATTCCTTCTTTTTTTTGTTTCCTCTCCTCTTTTTGAGACAGGGTCTTGCTATGCAATTCAGGTTGGCCTTGAACTAACCCCCTTTTGTTTTCTGTCTTTTTGAGACAGGGTCTTACTATGCATTTCTGGCTGGCCTTGAGCTCACTTTCTAGCCCAGGCTGGCCTGAACTCACAGTGATCCTCCTGTCTCAGCCTCCTGAGTGCTGGGATTACAAGTGTGCACCACCACACCCAGCTCAGCATTCCTTCTGAAAGTTGTATAAACTTGATATGGTGAATTTGGACTTTTTACTGTATTTTAAGGCCTTCATTGAGTTTGTTCAAGAAAGTAAAAATTATGTATTTATGTTTTTCAGTTCTATAAAAGCCACAGAGAATTCAAATATTTTGATATTAGCCAGGTGTGGTGGCACATGCCTGTAGTCCCAGCACTTTGGAGGCTGAAGCAGGCTTGCACATGTTTGAAGCCAGGCTGGACTACATAGCGAGACCCAGTCTCAAAAAAAGAAAGAAAGAAAAAGAAAATACAAAAAGGTATAATTTAAAACTGGATATTGCTTAGTTATTTTCAAAATATAATTTTTAAATATAGTTTATTCTCATAAGCAAATAAATTTTAGAGGAAATTTGAAGGTGTAAATTCCCCATGTACTTATGACATTCATGAAATTAAGGGTGTACATTGACTGATGTAGAAAAGTTCAGTTATTATTTAAAAATTATACTTAGTAATTCTGTTTTCTTGTCTTACTCTTTGCAGCTGCTTACTCCACCAGAGGCAAAAAAGTATTTCAACTTCAGGTATCCACCTCCTGGAGCAGAGAGAGTATTTTATGGCAAAGCAAATGATCCCCAAATTGCACCTTCCTTGACACATGGAATAAAATCTAAAATTTCAATACAGGTACCTTCTTTTCTTTTTTTCCTTCAATGTATATAACTAATTTACCAAGATAAAAATGCACAAATGAAGAATCCAATCTCCTTTTCACCATATATATTTTTGTTTGTTTGTTCTTTTTGTTGAGGCAGGGTCTCGCTATATAGTTCTGGCTGGCCTTGAACTTGTGGCGATCCTCCTGCTTAACTCCCCAAGTGCTGGAATTATAGTCTGTGCCACCATGCCTGGCCCCACCGTATTTTTTTTTTTACCAGTCTTTCCTCCATCTGTACTCTTGATTTTTTTTTTTTTTTCCCCAGTACCAGGGATCGAACTCATGATGTTGTGCTTGCCAGGCAGGCGCTGTGCCGCTAAGCTAAATCCCCAGCCCCTTCCATCTGTACTCTTTAAGCATTAATCTTTTTAAAATTTATATTAGTACATGTTTGCAGTACATAATGATTGCATGCGTTATGGGAGAAAGCTTTCGTCTTGATCAATTAAAAAAATCCAAGCAGCACCCAAGACAGTGTGGAGAAATTAATGATTCAAACTACAAACTCTTCTTCCCTCAGATGATGAAAGGGGAGTTGTAATCCATTTTCTCCCAGGAAACAGAAATGCTTGTCATGGGTCGTGTGGTAGTGCATACCTGTAATCCCAGCACTTGGGAGGCTGAGGTAGGAGGACTGTTGTGAGTTTGAGACCAGCCTGGGCTACAAAGTGAGCTCAAGGCCAGGCTGACCTGCATAGTGAGATCTGCATAGTAATGCAGAATGCTTAGATGTCGAGTGGAGGTGTAGTGAGGAAGTTCTTTGCTGTTGATTGAATGGCTAGTCTAGATTCAGAAGGATCTCATCTATACAATTTTCTTTTTTTTTTTAACTTTTTGAGACAGGGTCTTGCTATGCAGTTCAGGCTGGCCTTGAGCTCACTTTGTAGCCCAGGCTGGTCTTGAACTCACAATGATCCTCCTGCCTCAGCCTCCCAAGTGCTGGGATTATAGACATGCACCACCATGCCCAGCTTGAAAATTACATTTTTGGTCCTGTTATTCCTACTTTCTTTTTATTAGTATGTGTCTGTGATATGCAATGGTAGCATTCATATGCAGAGTTCATACATAGGGCGTCTTTCTACTTTTCTTGAGTGTGTGAGTCAATCTGCATGCTCTGTTCAAGCTTTGTAGTCCCACTGTGACCTTAAATTCCTATGAAAGTCCTTGTTTAGGCATGTCTGTACCTCATAGTATCAATTCTGATAGTTCCAACTGAAGATGAGAAAGCCGCAATGACAATGACATATCTTTCCATAATCATACTGTATTTTCTCCCTAGCTTTTTTTTTTTTTTTTTTTT